AAAAAAAAAAAAAAAAAACTCCCTCTCTATGTTCCCCCCCCCCCCCCCGGCATACTGTTTTGTCAAGAGTTCCTCCCAAAGAACAAAACAATGTTGTTGTCTGGGAAAGATAGTGGTGGTTGGGGTGCAACATAAAGGAAGCTGAAATTTTAACCTTTCATACAGGCTGAGTTGTCATTCTACACAAGCAGGGCATTCATTTTGTTGCAGAGACCATATTAATATTTTAGGTCTCACATGGCACATTGTTTTACAAAAGTAGTGGCCAATCTGTGGGTCATACAGAAATGGAGACTCTGGCTGGAAAACACTGTCTGCCTTCCTGGGTATCTTTTGACATTTTAAGGAATTCCTCACTTACCATGCCATAGTTTTCCATATAAACCCCAAAGTTTTGCTGCCATTTCCTTTGGTTTGTTCCATAACTCATTAGAAGAGTCTGCAGGTAGGTTATACTTTTTCTTGCAAATATATAAAAAAAATGCAGAACTATGAAAACCAAACAAATGGATTAAACATCCAGAACCGAATAGTAGAGAAACTACTAATAATAACAGCAGGGGATGAAGTACAGAGCTGACAGATGCTTCCGTGTAACCAAAGCCAATCCAGTCCTTTAGCATGCGAGGAAACCATGTCATATGTTCATGCTCAGAAGTATCCAACATGGTGGCTTTCATTTCATTCATGTGGGAGAAACAGAAAAAAGAGAGAAAACAAGAATCATTATTTATTTCATGGGAGGGAGGTGATGTACTTATCACCTTGTCTTATGAACACAGACAAGTTCATCATCATCACTTTAAAGTAAAAATTAAATTCGTCATTTTAACCCATTTTAATGCACTCATTTTTTCTCATGAGATTTCACTGAATCTTCCCCCTCTTTCTTATAAACACAAACAGACCACATTTCTTTGCATTGCTTCCTTGAATTATATAGGGCTGCCAATAAATTTGCACCCTTGTTCTCATGCCATCAAAATATAAATCCAGTTCTGCTGAGCAATATGAAGTAGACTAGAATGTTGAAAAATAATGATAATTTTGAAAAACCAACTGTGTGGATGCAATTTGAACAATGTTCAGGATTTTTCTAAATACTTGTTACAGAACTGATTATAAATGGCTTTTCCTAATAAGGCACAATCTCTTTATTTGACTTCAGCTAAAATCCTAAACAAACCTACGTGGCACCAAGCCTCCATGATCAGCAGAAATTGCTTCTGAATTAATATGCTTACATTTATCCTTTTACTAAATTTCTACCTACTTTCTAATCCGACTCTTGGTGGTTTACAGTAGAATAAAATATAATACATCAAAGAGAAACTAACAAATAAATAAACATAAGCATAAGATCCCCAAACAATCTGCATCACAAGCCACAAGTCTGAAAAAGCTTCAGCTTCTTTGGGAAGGTAGCCATAGGAAGAGCTGAACCGATCTCAAGCAGCAGGCTGTTCCAGAGGGCCAGTGCTGCCGCTGAACACAAGGCCTCTGAGCATCAGCCCCTGTGGCCTTCCAAATCTGGGAACAATCAGCTGCTTATCCCAAGATAACCACAACTGTCAGTGTCACATTATTGAAACATTTGGGAAGCATTAAAGACATCAAGGTGACTTTCTGTCATATGTAGCAGTAAAAGTATTTGTGGCATTATGAAGAAGTTACTGATAATTAATTTATAGTTAATTTAGTTTAAAGTACTAGAAACTATTAGAAAACAGGCCAGTTCTGGAACTTCTGAAGACACCTGTTTCCTATGACAGAGACATAGTAGTCCACCAAGTTCTGTATTAACTCAATACAAGGATGTCAACGGAAACCTCGTCCCCATATCCTCAACCTCTCTGGCCTCTTTTCCTTCTCCATCCTTCCACTTGCTGAACAACTTGCAATTCTCTTCCACTTTCACTACTTTGTCCTTTGCTCGTGAGAAAAATTTACTCCTCCTTAGTACTCTATCTTGGGTCCTAGGTTTCAGTATCATGGCAACTTCTATTGGTAATCTAATAAGCTGTATTTGGGTGTTCTCTTTTCTAAATTTTGCTACAGAAATAGATGTGGAAGAGGGTCTGTGTATGTAAAAGAAAAATAACTAATCAAAATATAAAGCCGATTTATATTATTTATGTTAAATATAAAACATTGAGCATGAAAATCAAAGTCTGCAGCCAGCTGAATTTAGAGAATCTTTGCTTATTACTTAGGTTACTATATAAAGGGACATATATTTCTGTCTGTCTCTCACCAAGGCCGTGAGTCACCTGGTGGAGAGGGGAGGTGATGGTTGGAGAAGAGGCTACCATTCATGAGAGCAACAAAATGACATTCTGGAGATGAAATACAAAAAGAAAATAGGAGAAGAAAACCAGAAGTCACAAAGCCCATAGAACACTCCATGGGGCGTGGTGATAGAGGAAAAAGTGGAAAGCAGCTGTGTGGAACCCAGAAGGACCTGGACAAGGCTAGCAAGAGATTCCTGCATTCCCCCAGAAGAGAATTCCTACAGAGGCTTTTGAGAAAGGGTGAAGGCTGAGACAGAGAGGAACGGTGTTGTATCAACAGGGGAAGATGAGCAACAGCTGTCCTCTTGTGAGGAACGCACTTCAGACTAAGACTCTTGAAGGAGGAAGCTGGAAGGAGAAAACAAGGGATTCTGGGGACAAAAAAGAGGGAGAGGAGAAAGGGATGAGAGAAAGATAGTAGAAGTTATAGAGGTGCAAAGCTTAAGCTATAACACAGTAAAATAATTTAGGAAGTATTGCAGACAGATAATAAAGGAGAATGAGAACAGGACAGGTTAAGTGAGGAATGTTACATTTGGAGGGGGAAAGAATTGAAAAACATAGGGAAGGATTAAAAGTTAAAATCAGAATTCTGCTTTTAGGAAATTAAATTAAATTAAATTAAATTAAATTAAATTAAATTAAATTAAGACAGAAAAAGTTATTTTAAGTTAAAATAAGATAGAAACTAAACAAATCCTTAGAAATGAGGGGGAGAAGACTTAAAAGGGACACAAATAAGAAATCTCTGGATCAAAAGGGTGGAGAGTGAATGATTCATTATGACTGCAAGAAGATACTAAATCGAACTGTCAATATATATTGCCAGACAGATGCCACAGGGGATACAAGAGACAGGTTAACAGTACATGCGATACTGACTCACCTTCTGGGGCCGAACGTATACAAATGCAGTTATCATGTGGAAGATTAGTATATCTACCTGTTATCATTGTAATAGTTAATGCACCAATTTGGACCAAGGTTAAAAAAAAAACAAAAAACAAAAAACCCTTGTGAGAAGCATGTAAGATGTTATAAAAATATCTAGGGATCATCCAAAAGCGGGCCAGCAATCACCCGATCATGAAAATAACTTCAGCCCTATCATTTTGAAAGTCTAAATTCCAAATCCTTGTTTTAACTTCAGCCAAGCCTTATTGGGGCTGAGCGATGATCAAGCCCCATGTGAAAAGCCACCAAGTTTTGAAAGTCTCTTTTCCTCCTCAAGGATGACGTAAACCTACTCACTAGAGTAAGGGGAACCAGAGATACTCCTTAGAAAATTTGTTTCAGCCAGAATATGAAGTGGCAAAGTCTCGGCAGGGGCCAAAGGAGATACACCCAAGTTCTGAGTGATTTGAGGTTGAGCAAGAAGCACATTAGAAATTTAGAATGAAGAGTTTCCAAAAGAGAGCCATCCTTATATCGCTGCGCACCATATAGCAGCAATCCTGGTATCTTGGTTTTATATAATTTAATTGCTGCAGGAACACAGTTATTGTCTTGATGGCTTGCGTATTGAAGGATCATATTGGAGGCTATGGCAGCTTTTATAGAGAGCTCACTCAGCTGATCGTTTGAAAAGGAGGAAGGTTTGCTAGGGGTGCCTACGTACTTATCTTAACCTGGTCAATTGCTCTATTCTTAATCTTCCATCTAAGTGGGGGCTTAAAATGCTTCCTAAAGAAGACTAAGGTTTTGAACATTTAATTTCAAGAAATTCCCAACAGCAAAAGGTCACAGCTAGGAATCTGTGGATGACCGCTTGGGTTACAGATAGGATGACTGCAGAAGAGCATACATGGGGAACTATTCAAAATGGTTGCCACATTTTTAGCAATAGCTATGGTTTGCAGAAATCAGTTGATATCTCTTTCTTATTACTAATTGTTTGAGGCCTGGCTTACTATGTACTTTTAAAGTTCTGTATTTGATGGGTTTTATTGGTTTGAGACCATAAGTGAAATGATAACAACAACAACAACAACAACAATAGACGTTGTAGTACCTGGAGACAGCAGAAAAGAAGAGGAAGAACTGGAGGTAATCACATAATATAAAGACCTGCAAATAGAAGTAGAATGAATTGGCAAAAGAAAGCAAGGATAATACCAATAGTTAGAGGCACCTTAGATATAATCCCAAAACATCTGGCGCACCCCTTGAAGACCGTTGGCATTGACAAAATCAGTTAGACAACTACAAAAGGCAGTTTTGCTTGGAACAGCTTAGATCCTGTGATGACACCTTTAACACCATCAAACCATAGAACAACAAAATCTGCGTATCCCAGGTCCTTGGGAAGGACTTGACTGGTGGATAAAAATGACAAATCCAGTTCAAACATCTGGCTAACTGTGCGACCAACCACCACCACCACCAACAACAACATGAAGAAGATCACTAGAAATACCTTGGCATCCTTCAGGCTGACAACATCAAGCACACTGAAGTCAAGAAGGTTATAGTAGTGAACATGTCAGAAAGTGAAGAAGATCTTAAAGTGCAAACTCAGTGCGGAAATATCATCAAGGAGATGGTAAGACCTAGGCAATTCCAGTCATTAGATAAACAGCTGGAATAGTAGACTGAAGTCAAGCTGAACTAAAAGCCCTGGATGGGAAGACCAGAAAGATAATGAGAATGAATCATGCCCTTCATCCACGCAGCCACATTGACAGACTCTACTTACCAAGGGCATGGAATGTTACAAGTACACTAAACAGGTGAAGAAGAAAAAAGGACACTGGAAGAATATCTGAAGGACAGTGAAGAAGATGCACTGAAGCTAGTATACCATGAAGGCTTATAGAATACCAAAGAAACCAAATAGCCCTGGCCTATAAGAAAGACCAAATGAAGAATAGAAAAGAGACATGGCAAGACAAAGTATAAACATGGCCAGTACATACACACACACAAATCTAGGAGGTAAAGCAGATAACAACAAGACCTGGCAATTGCTAAGTGCAGGAAAATTGAAGAAGGAGACAGAAGGGCTAATTAAAGTAGCATTGGCCTTTGGTTTCTTAGTCTGGTCTACCTTAAAGGGCTGACACTATGTTGCAATGCTAATGGATGGTCAATGGAAGAGTTGAGGCAGGGGAGAA